TGTGTCTCTCTCTGGCGGGAGGTAAGCTTGTCTTCATACATAGTTTGGGCTTTGTCGAGTAAAGCTTAAACTATGTATTTAGATTGTAGTTAGGTATTGTAGGTAGTTATCGTGGGTTGAATGTAATTATTGTAGGTTAGTATTGTATTCGGCTGAGCCCGGTGAAGCACGAAGCTAGCTAGCTAACCCACTACCTGGACTAGCTAGCGGGTAGTTACTGGCAACTATTAGCAACGGTGGATAGTTGTTTCACGCCTGAGAGTGCCTGTAATTACGCCAGCTGGCTGCCTACAATAATTACATACAATAATGCCTACCATTCAGCTGTTTTCTAACCTCATTGTCTGAAGCGTTAACGTTAGGTATTAAGTGGCTACTGTGCTTGAAATTTAGCTAGCTTGTTGCTACCTGGATAGCTACTAGTAAACAATAGCTGGAACGACCTAACGAACAGACGCGAACTGGCTGAGTCAATTCAGTGGCTAGCTTTGCACTTGGCTAGCTAACAGTAGCTGCTAGGGGTAAGTTATAACCTACATTTGTGTTTTGTTTTTACATATTGGTAGCCAGAGTCGTTCAAGGGAATTCGGGACATGGGTGACTAGTTAACGTTAGCTTGTCTCTCTCTGTGTGTTCGTGCCATGAAAGGAGGGTTTTCTTCTTTGTCTGAAAGCAATGGCTAGCTAGTATGCTAACTATTCTAGCTAACTAACTGGCTGAATAAGTTGACGACGGACTCGCTCAAGCTGTCGGGACTAACCCACAATGTTAAACACGGACAAAAATGATCTGCTTGGCGTGTTGACACACTGGTGGTTTGTTGTGGCCGAGTATTGGTGCTAAACCGTGTTGTTGGAGTCCGGCATGCTAGCTGGCTGTGGCGTCTTATGACTAGGTGCCCTGGACGATTTTCACGGAAGAATACTGTACCAAGTTAGCTAGCTGAATAAACTAAGTTAGTCTATTCCTAGAAAACATTGAACCGCTGTAGTTTACAACAATGATCGTTTCTGAGGTGGAAGTTGGGAGAGTTATATTTGGGTGTTGTGGTGAGGGAGGCCCCGCTCTCTTTTTCCCCAGATGTTTAGTTCATTTCATTCCGATCTCCTTTGCATTATTGTAGCCATTTTCTGTAGCCTGTCAACTATGCCTCTGTCTATCCCTGTTCTCTCCTCTCCGCACAGGCTATACAAACGCCTCACACCGCGTGGCTGCTGCCTCTCTAACCTGGTGGTCCCTGCACGCACCACCCACGTGGAGTTCCAGGTCTCAGGCAGCCTCTGGAACTGCCGTTCTGCTGTCAACAAGGTAGAGTTCATCTCAGCCTATGCTACCCTCCAGTCCCTCGACTTCTTGGCGCTGACGGAAACATGGATTACCACTGAAAACACTGCTACTCCTACTGCTCTCTCCTCGTCTGACCATGTGTTCTCGCATACCCCGAGAGCATCTGGTCAGCGGGGTGGTGGCACAAGAATCCTCATCTCTCCCAAGTGGACATTCTCTATTTTTTCCCTGACCCATCTGTCTATCTCCTCATTTGAATTCCATGCTGTCACAGTCACTAGCCCATTTAAGCTTAACATCCTTGTCATTTATCGCCCTCCAGGTTCCCTTGGAGAGTTCATCAATGAGCTTGACGCCTTGATAAGTTCCTTTCCTGAGGATGGCTCACCCCTCACAGTTCTGGGGGACTTCAACCTCCCTACGTCTACCTTTGACTCATTTCTCTCTGCCTCCTTCATTCCACTCCTCACCTCTTTTGACCTCACCCTCTCACCGTCCCCCCCTACTCACAAGGCAGGCAATACGCTTGACCTCATCTTTACTAGATGCTGTTCTTCTACTAATCTCACTGCAACTCCCCTCCATGTCTCCGACCACTACTTTATATCCTTTTCTCTCTCGCTCTCCTCCAACACTACTCACTCTGCCCTTAATCAGATGGTAATGCGCCGTCGCAACCTTCGCTCTCTCTCTCCCGCTACTCTCTCCTCTTCCATCCTATCATCTCTTCCCTCTGCTCAATCCTTCTCCCTCCAATCTCCTGATTCTGCCTCCTCAACCCTCCTCTCCTCCCTTTCTGCATCCTTTGACTCTCTATGTCCCCTATCCTCCCGGCCGGCTCGGTCCTCCCCTCCAGCTCCGTGGCTTGATGACTCATTGCGAGCTCACAGAACAGGGCTCCAGGCAGCCGAGCGGAAATGGAGGAAAACTAGACTCCCTGCGGACCTGGCATCTTTTCACTCCCTCCTCTCTACATTTTCTTCATCTGTTTCTGCTGCTAAGGCCACTTTCTACCTCTCTAAATTCCAAGCATCTGCCTCTAACCCTAGGAAGCTCTTTGCCACCTTCTCCTCCCTGCTGAATCCTCCTCCCCCTCACCCCCCCTCCTCCCTCTCTGTGGATGACTTCGTCAACCATTTTGAAAAGAAGGTTGACGACATCCGATCCTCGTTTGTTAAGTCAAATGACACTGCTGGTCCTGCTCACAATGCCCTACCCTATGCTTTGACTTCTTTCTCCCCTCTCTCTCCAGATAAAATCTTGTGACTTGTGACGGCCGGCCGCCCAACAACCTGCCCGCTTGACCCTATCCCCTCCTCTCTTCTCCAGACCATCTCCGGTGACCTTCTCCCTTACCTCACCTCGCTCATCAACTCATCCTTGACCGCTGGCTATGTCCCTTCCATCTTCAAGAGAGCGAGAGTTGCACCCCTTCTCAAAAAACCAACACTCGATCCCTCTGATGTCAACAACTACAGACCAGTATCCCTTCTTTCTTTTCTCTCCAAAACTCTTGAGCGTGCCGTCTTTAGCCAACTCTCTTGCTATCTCTCTCAGAATGACCTTCTAGATCCAAACCAGTCAGGTTTCAAGACTTGTCATTCAACTGAGACTGCTCTTCTCTGTGTCACGGAGGCTCTCCGCACTGCTAAAGCTAACTCTCTCTCCTCTGCTCTTGTCCTTCTAGACCTGTCTGCTGCCTTTGATACTGTGAACCATCAGATCCTCCTCTCCACCCTCTCCGAGCTGGGCATCTCTGGCGCGGCTCACTCTTGGATTGCGTCCTACCTGACCGGTCGCTCCTACCAAGTGGCCTGGCGAGAAGCTGTCTCCGCACCACATGCTCTCACCACTGGTGTCCCCCAGGGCTCAGTTCTAGGCCCTCTCCTATTCTCGCTATACACCAAGTCACTTGGCTCTGTCATATCCTCACATGGCCTCTCCTATCATTGCTACGCAGACGACACACAACTAATCTTCTCCTTTCCACCTTCTGATAAGCAGGTGGCGAATCGCATCTCTGCATGTCTGGCAGACATATCAGTGTGGATGACGGATCACCACCTCAAGCTGAACCTTGGCAAGACGGAGCTGCTCTTCCTCCCGGGGAAGGACTGCCCGTTCCATGATCTCGCCATCACGGTTGACAACTCCGTTGTGTCCTCCTCCCAGAGTGCGAAGAGCCTTGGCGGACAACACCATGTCGTTCTCCGCTAACATCAAGGCAGTGACCCGATCATGTAGGTTCATGCTCTACAACATTCGGAGAGTACGACCCTGCCTTACACAGGAAGCGGCACAGGTCCTAATCCAGGCACTTGTCATCTCCCGTCTGGATTACTGCAACTCTCTGTTGGCTGGGCTCCCTGCCTGTGCCATTAAACCCCTACAACTCATCCGGAATGCCGCAGCCCGTCTGGTGTTCAACCTTCCCAAGTTCTCTCACGTCACCCCGCTCCTCTGCACACTCCACTGGCTTCCAGTTGAAGCTTGCATCTGCTACAAGACCATGGTGCTTGCCTACGGAGCTGTGAGGGGAACGGCACCGCCGTACCTTCAGGCTCTGATCAGTCCCTACACCCAAACGAGGGCATTGCGTTCATCCACCTCTGGCCTGCTGGCCCCCCTACCTCTGCGGAAGCACAGTTCCCGCTCAGCCCAGTCAAAACTGTTCGCTGCTCTGGCACCCCAGTGGTGGAACAAGCTCCCTCACGACGCCAGGACAGCGGAGTCACTCACCACCTTCTGGAGTCACTTGAAACCCCACCTCTTTAAGGAATACCTGGGATAGGATAAAGTAATCCTTCTACCCCCCCTTACCCCACCCCACCCCACAAAAATAAAATAAAATAAATAAATAAAAATAACACATTGTAAAGTGGTTATAAGGTGAATGCACCAATTTGTAAGTCGCTCTGGATAAGAGCGTCTGCTAAATGACGTAAATGTAAATGTAAATGTAACCCTGGTAGTCATTCTCATTGTGGGAATCCACTCTGGATGGATTCCAATAGGAATTGAACATCAAACACATCACTCCACTCTATACTCCTCTGTAAACTGGTCATCTCTGTATACCCGTCGCAAGACCCACTGGTTGATGCTTATTTACAAAACCCTCTTAGGCCTCACTCCCCCCTATCTGAGATACCTACTGCAGCCCTCATCCTCCACATACAACACCCGTTCTTTCAGTCACATTCTGTTATAGGTCCCCAAAGCACACACATCCCTGGGTCGCTACTCTTTCCAGTTTGCTGCAGCTAGCAACTGGAACGACCTGCAAAAAACACTCTCTTCATTCAAAGACTCAATCATGGACACTCTTACTGACAGTTGTGACTGCTTCGCGTGATGTATTGTTGTCTCTACCTTCTTGCCCTTTGTGCTGTTGTCTGTGCCCTATAATGTTTGTACTATGTCTTGTGCTGCTACCATGTTGTGCTGCTGCCATGTTGTGTTGCTACCATGTTGTTTTCATGTTGGGTTGCTACCTTGCTGTGTTGTCGTGTGTTGCTGCCATGCTATGTTGTTGTCTTAGGTCTCTCTTTATGTATTGTTGTGTTGTCTCTCTTGTTGTGATGTGTGTTTGGTCCTATATTTATACAGTACCAGTCAAAAGTTTGGACACACCTACTCATTCAAGGGTTTTTCTTTATTTTAAATTTTTTTTTACATTGTAGAGTAATAGTGAAGACATCAAATCTATGAAATAACACATATGGAATCATGTAGTAACCAAAAAAGTGTTAAACAAATCAAAATACGTTTTATATTTGAATGGTTACAGGGGTTGTCAATAAACAGATGCACGATACATATTTATTTGTAAGTAGGCCTACTCACAGTGTGCAGGAGTCCCTTCAACACAAGAACAACAATGCAGCAACACAACAGACTCAAGTCATAGGTCTAAGCCTATTTCTCAGACACATGGCCTGTTGTGTTGTGTTTCATGTACACTTGGTTGAGGCAAGTCTAGGATGTTCTAATGTCATCAGTGTATGTGTGTGTGTTTCTGTGTGTGTTTGTGTGTGCGTATTTCAGAGCGTTCCGACATCTTTGGCCTCAGCGACTCACCAAAGAGACTCTTAGTTAGAGAGTGTTGCTGGGTTACTGTCTATCTCTCCTTTGATTGGCCCACTGATACTTCCTGCTTGATATTACAGGGTTGAGATGATTGACTCCCCTGTTTCAAACTCTCCGCTTCGCTCTCCAAATGACCCCTCTTTCCTTCCATATAATCCCTGTCTCTCTCTACCCCTCCCTTGTCTCCCTCTATCTATTCCCTCTCTCTCTCCACTCCTTCGCCATTCCCAGTCCCCTCCCCCTCTCCACCGCTGGCGGGGATCTCAGTAGTCATGTCATTGTCATAGTCTGTTATCAGGAATGTGGGCTGTATGCAAGAACAGAGTCTCACCAGCTCTTCATCCTCATCATCATCATCACTGGTCCTGATGGCCTCTTCATCCCCCAGGAAGCAGTCATCATCCCCAATGGAGGCTGTCTCAGGGCTGTGTGTGGAGGGTCTGCACTCCTCAGGGTACCCAGGTGGTCCTACCTGCTCTGGGGAGGGCGTGGTCAGTACAGGTATGTGTGCCTTCCCTGGGGTGGGTTTAGGTGGGGGTGTCCCTACCCTGTCCTGCTCTGGACAGGGTGGAGTAAGTAAAGGTGTGTGAGTATCTCCTGTACACTCTGGAGTGTGTATTGGGTCTGGAGTAGGTGAAAGAAAGAGAGGTGTGGTCATTGAGGTAGGAGGAGGTGTGGGGTGAGGGGGTGAGTTGATAGGAATGGGAGGAGGTAAAGGTGTGTCTTTAGGGGTCTCTTCTACCTGAGTGGGTGTATCTACCTCTTCTGCAATAGGGAAGGGGTGTGTACGTGAAAATGTGTCTGTAGATAAAGGTTCGGACATCTGATTCAGGGTAGGTGTGGGGTGAGTGGGGGTGCTAAAGCTAGAGTTGTCCAAGGGTTGAGTGGATGTTGTGAGTAGTTCAGGTGTGGTGGTTGTAGCAGGTGTATGGGTGGAGTTGGGTGAAGTAGGGCCATGACTGGGGTCTGTAGGAGTGGTGCTGGGTAGTATAGGCTGGATGTAGGTCGTTGAGGATGTAGCTATAGGTATAGAATTGAGTGGAGAAGAGTTGGAGTCTGCAGGGGTGTAGATGCTCTGACTGCCCAGTAGCTTGGAGGTGGAGCTGCTCAGACCCTCCTTTTTTAATTTCACCTCATCCAGAACTGGCATGGGACTACTGTGACTCACCTGGGGAGAAAACACACACACACATATCAACATGGCTACACTATGCCCTGTATGACACACACACACACACACACACACATACACACACACACACACACACACAAAGGGGCTGGGGGGGAGGAGAGACTCACCAGTTGGAACCATTGTAATCTCTAAACCAGCAGGGGTGAGGGGAGAGGAGACAGAGAGACACACGGGTCAGACCACAGGACCAGAATGTGTAAATGTTAGAGCTTAAAAGTTAAAAGGTTAGGGGTCAGAGTGAGGTGTCAGTGTATCTCACCACGTTGGGGTGTTTCCCCTGGGCTATACAGCCCCTGTCCTCTGGGTCCTTCTGTCCTCTGTTTGTCTGGAGTACATGCTGCAGTGCATACAGAGCGCAGCCTAACAGAGTCAGCCCCAGGATGACCACACCCATAGCCTTGCCCACTGCACAGCTACCAGGAAGAAGCCCGTCCCCCAATGGGCCCTGAGGGACTGCACACACACACGTGCACGCACACACACACACACACATATATACTCTGAGTGTACAAAACATTAGGAACACCATTTATACTGACTCTAGACACACACACACACACACACACACACACACACACACTCACTCACATACAGTCATCATATACGCTGCTGCTACTCTGTTTATCATACACTGAATGTACAAAACATTAGGAAAGCCTTCCTAATATTGAGTTGCACCCCCTTTTGCATTGAGAACACCCTCAATTCGCCTGGGCATGGACTCTCCAAGGTGTTGAAAGCATTCCACAGGGATGCTGGCCCATGTTGACTCCAATGTTTCCCACAGTTGTGTCAAGTTGGCTGGATGTCCTTTGGGTGGTGGACCATTCTTGATACACATGGGAAACTGTTGAGCTTGAAAAACCCAGCAGCGTTGCAGTTCTTGACACACTCAAACCGGTGCGCCTGGCACCTAATACCATACCCTGTTCAAAGGCACTTAAATATTTTGTCATGCCCATTCACCCTCTGAATGGCACACATACACAATCCATGTCTCAATTGTCTTTAACCTGTCTCCTCCCCTTCATCTACACTGATTTAAGTGGATTTAACAAGTGACACCAATAACGGATCATAGATTTCACCTGGATTAATCTGGTCAGTCTATCATGTTTTGTACACTCAGTGTACATACATACACTGATGATGAACTGCAGAGCAAGTATGACCACACAGATTCCAAATGTGTGTGTGTGTGTGTGTGTGTGTGTGTTACCTGTTTGTCCTTCATACAGCACCTCCACCTTTATGAGAGCCGTGGCCATTTCACCTGACTCCAGATCTACAGCCACTACCTGCAGGATATCATCATCATCAACATCAGCTTCACCAATGCAGCTTGTCCATCCTCAATAGAGATGAATTACGTTGTTCTCTGGTACTACTGTTCTGTCCAATCAAAGCCCACCTTCAGACGGTGTTTCTGTGATGGCCGTAGCTGATTGGTCCTGGCGATCAGAAGCCCCTCCTGTATGATGTGGTAGAACTGTGTGTGATTGGACGAGGACCTCAGGGAGTAGTGCATCTTGGGATTGATTCCCTATCGATTGAGAGAAGAGAGAGTTGAAGTTACAGAATATTACACTATGCATAGTCTAGCTGTGTGTATGTGCGTGTGTGTGCACGTGTGTACATACATCAGAGAAGTCCCTGTCCTGTGTCTGTATTAGCAGCACAGTGTTGCCATAAGTGTTGACCAGTGAGGCAGGGCTGTCGCCTTCGGTGACAAAGCCACGGTATTCAGCCCGACCGAACTGGGGAGGAAAGTGGTTGACAGCCACAACATGGACCACCACGGTGGCAACTGAGTACTTCCTAGGGTCATTCCTCTGGTACGCCTGAGGAGGGGGAGAAAGTTTTCAGTTATTAATGGTTTTATTCAGTCTCTATACAGTTTATTATGTACACCCATCTAGTACCGGGTTGGACCCCCCTTTGCCTCCAGAACAGCCCGAATTCTTCAGAGCATGGAAACGTTGCTCAATTGGTATCAAGGGACCTAACGTGTGCCAGGAAAACATTCCCCTGTAGGAGCGAACCATTTTTGTGAACGGGGTGGTGTACCTTATAAACTGTCTGCATACTGTCTGCAAACTGTCTGCATAAGTGTGTGTGTGTGTGTGTGTGTCTCACCATGACTCGTAGGCGTAGTGTGGGTGTCTGTAGTCTGTTCTCTACTCCTCTTGTCAGACGTACCTCCCCTGTCAGCTCATCCATCACGAAATGTCCGCTATCAGCCCCTGACAACATGTAGCTAGCTATATTATCAGCTCCTAATATTACGCTATATTTCATTGTGAAGCTAAACTATGGTGTTTTGTGTGTGTGTGTGTGTTACCTGACAGGATGCTGTAGCTGAGAGGTGAGCTGAGGCCTCTGTCTCCATCCACAGCATTGATCGGCCCCGGAGAGAAGTCCAGAAGAACGTCCTATAAAAGAGACAACATTAACACAATACATCAGTCCCTAACCTCTAACCACCGACACCAACCACCAACAGCTAACCCTGGTCACTAACCTGTTGGCCTTCTGTGATGTTAACTGTGTAAATGGGGTTGGTGCAGACACGATTTGATTGGTTGTTGGAGAGGGGCGTGCACGGCAGGAATTGTGGGTACTGGTCGTCTCCGTCCAAGATATTCACGGTCAGGATGGCACTGGTGTTGAACTTCTCTGCAGTGTTCATCTCCTACTCATACATAAACACACACACACACACAGACCGTATCAGACTGAAACAGAATGGTTGATGGTTAGGAACAGTTAGTTCCAGTCATGCAATCTGACTGGTTAAAGGTGTGCATTATTCACAACATATATCACGCAGATTGTAGGTGCAGCCAAGCTCTTTCTGTAACAGTAGGTCTATTTAGTATACCAAAGCGTATATGGTGATCTCCAGTTGTGTTTTGGTCTCGTAGTCCAGAGGCTTGGCCAGTATCACCTCTCCACTGTTAGGGAGATCCACTCTGAAGCAGGCAGCATCAGGCTGGAACAGAGACCACCCACAAATACTGTACACACTCATTTAAATGCACAACCTTGTTGATACAGTAAGAAGATCTGGTATTTATTTATGTATAAAAGGTTATTAATACAGTACCGAGGTCTGGTCGATGGAGTACATGATGGTGTCGTCATCTGCATCTGTGGCCTGGACTGTAAACACCACTGTATTCACCTCCGCCAGCTAAACATAGATATCACGCAATAGTCTGCTTCTGTGTGTGTGTGTGTGTGGGTGTGTGTGTGTGTGTGTGTGTGTGTGTGTGTGTGTGTGTGCACGTGCGTGCATGTGTAGTCTATTTACCTCACTGATGCTGCGAGTCTGAATGGTGCTCTCCACAAACTCAGGAGTGTTATCATTCTCATTTAGAATCTCCACCATGATCCTGTACTCACTCTGAAACACACACACACATTTAGAAATTTGGGATCCATAGTAAAATCACTGTGGTACAAAGGACAAATATATTTCCAGAAATGAAGAGTCTCTACCTTCACAGTGTCCTCCTCATAGCAGGTCAACGCTGCCATTAGGACTGGGCCCTGCACCTGAAACACACACACAAACACACACACACACGCTTCATATCTGCAGAGCAGGTTGGCATTTATTGTCATGAATCTTGACCTGGAGGCAGCTCTGCAGACAGGTCACTAGCAGACACAAAGTCATACAATTTTAAACCTAACCTTAATCTTCAGGGCAAGATTAATGCAAGGGCTTACAGGGGCTAAAGCCCCCAGGCCCAAGCCATAGTGGGTCCAACAGGCAAAAAAATAAAATAGAAATGTTATAATTTATATATTTTTTAAATCCAACCATAGGAGCCCGCTCTCAGTGTTCAAAATACACCAGAGAGCATAATTTAGGATCAACATAAAGTTTCTTAAAAGGGTGTTGGGCCACCACTAGCTGCCAGAACAGCTTAAATGCGCCTTGGTATAGATTCTACTAGTGGACCTAAACCATGCCAGGAAAATACACACCATTACATAATCCCTCATTTACTCAAGTGTTTCCTTTATTTTGGCAGTTACCGGTATGCCTACAGTCGGGAAGGCCGCAATTTGGCAGCATGTACGCCAAATATACAGCTTGTTGCATTGTGGCCATATAGACATACAGTGGGGAAAAAAAGTATTTAGTCAGCCACCAATTGTGCAAGTTCTCCCACTTAAAAAGATGAGAGAGGCCTGTAATTTTCATCATAGGTACACGTCAACTATGACAGACAAATTGAGAAAAGAAAATCCAGAAAATCACATTGTAGGATTTTTAATGAATTTATTTGCAAATTATGGTGGAAAATAAGTATTTGGTCACGTACAAACAAGCAAGATTTCTGGCTCTCACAGACCTGTAACTTCTTCTTTAAGAGGCTCCTCTGTCCTCCACTCGTTACCTGTATTAATGGCACCTGTTTGAACTTGTTATCAGTATAAAAGACACCTGTCCACAACCTCAAACAGTCACACTCCAAACTCCACTATGGCCAAGACCAAAGAGCTGTCAAAGGACACCAAAAACAAAATTGTAGACCTGCACCAGGCTGGGAAGACTGAATCTGCAATAGGTAAGCAGCTTGGTTTGAAGAAATCAACTGTGGGAGCAATTATTAGGAAATGGAAGACATACAAGACCACTGATAATCTCCCTCGATCTGGGGCTCCACGCAAGATCTCACCCTGTGGGGTCAAAATGATCACAAGAACGGTGAGCAAAAATCCCAGAACCACACGGGGGGACCTAGTGAATGACCTGCAGAGAGCTGGGACCAAAGTAACAAAGCCTACCATCTGTAACACACTACGCCGCCAGGGACTAAAATCCTGCAGTGCCAGACGTGTCCCCCTGCTTAAGCCAGTACATGTCCAGGCCCGTCTGAAGTTTGCTAGAGTGCATTTGGATGATCCAGAAGAGGATTGGGAAAATGTCATATGGTCAGATGAAACCAAAATAGAACTTTTTGGTAAAAACTCAACTCGTCGTGTTTGGAGAACAAAGAATGCTGAGTTGCATCCAAAGAACACCATACCTACTATGAAGCATGGGGGTGGAAACATCATGCTTTGGGGCTGTTTTTCTGCAAAGGGACCAGGACGACTGATCCGTGTAAAGGAAAGAATGAATGGGGCCATGTATCGTGAGATTTTGAGTGAAAACCTCCTTCCATCAGCAAGGGCATTGAAGATGAAACGTGGCTGGGTCTTTCAGCATGACAATGATCCCAAACACACCGCTCGGGCAACGAAGGAGTGGCTTCGTTAGAAGCATTTCAAGGTCCTGGAGTGGCCTAGCCAGTCTCCAGATCTCAACCCCATAGAAAATCTTTGGAGGGAGTTGAAAGTCCGTGTTGCCCAGCGACAGCCCCAAAACATCACTGCTCTAGAGGAGATCTGCATGGAGGAATGGGCCAAAATACCAGCAACAGTGTGTGAAAACCTTGTGAAGACTTACAGAAAACGTTTGACCTGTGTCATTGCCAACAAAGGGTATATAACAAAGTATTGAGAAACTTTTGTTATTGACCAAATACTTATTTTCCACCATAATTTGCAAATACATTCATTAAAAATCCTACAATGTGATTTAATGGATTTTTTTTCTCATTTTGTCTGTCATAGTTGACGTGTACCTATGATGGAAATTACAGGCCTCTCTCATCTTTTTAAGTGGGAGAACTTGCACAATTGGTGGCTGACTAAATACTTTTTTACCCCACTGTATAATCCATAGAAGGATTTTGGAACCTCTTACCTTGGCAATATGACATGGGTACACTAACAATGGCTGCCAGTCCTGCCAGTCCTGACTTGAATGGAGACTACGACCTACAGTGGGGAGAACAAGTATTTGATACACTGCCGATTTTGCAGGTTTTCCTACTTACAAAGCATGTAGAGGTCTGTAATTTTTATCATAGGTACACTTCAACTGTGCGAGACGGAATCTAAAACAAAAATCCAGAAAATCACATTGTATGATTTTTAAGTAATTAATTTGCATTTTATTGCATGACATAAGTATTTGATACATCAGAAAAGCAGAACTTAATATTTGGTACAGAAACCTTTGTTTGCAATTACAGAGATCATACGTTTCCTGTAGGTCTTGACCAGGTTTGCACACACTGCAGCAGGGATTTTGGCCCACTCCTCCATACAGACCTTCTCCAGATCCTTCAGGTTTCGGGGATGTCGCTGGGCAATACGGACTTTCAGCTCCCTCCAAAGATTTTCTATTGGGTTCAGGTCTGGAGACTGGCTAAGCCACTCCAGGACCTTGAGATGGTTCTTACGGAGCCACTCCTTAGTTGCCCTGGCTGTGTGTTTCGGGTCGTGGTCATGCTGGAAGACCCAGCCACGCCCCATCTTCAATGCTCTTACTGAGGGAAGGAGGTTGTTGGCCAAGATCTCGCGATACATGGCCCCATCCATCCTCCCCTCAATACGGTGCAGTCGTCCTGTCCCCTTTGCAGAAAAGCATCCCCAAAGAATGATGTTTCCACCTCCATGCTTCACGGTTGGGATGGTGTTCTTGGGGTTGTACTCATCCTTCTTCTTCCTCCAAACACGGCAGGTGGAGTTTAGACCAAAAAGCTCTATTTTTGTCTCATCAGACCACATGACCTTCTCCCATTCCTCCTCTGGATCATCCAGATGGTCATTGGCAAACTTCAGACGGGCCTGGACATGCACTGGCTTGAGCAGGGGGACCTTGCGTGTGCTGCAGGATTTTAATCCATGACGACGTAGTGTGTTACTAATGGTTTTCTTTGAGACTGTTGTCCCAGCTCTCTTCAGGTCATTGACCAGGTCCTGCCATGTAGTTCTGGGCTGATCCCTCACCTTCCTCATGATCATTGATGCCCCACGAGGTGAGATCTTGCATGGAGCCCCAGACCGAGGGTGATTGACCGTCATCTTGAACTTCTTCCATTTTCTAATAATTGCACCAACAGTTGTTGCCTTCTCACCAAGCTGCTTGCCTATTGTCCTGTAGCCCATCCCAGCCTTGTGCAGGTCTACAATTTTATCCCCTATGTCCTTACACAGCTCTCTGGTCTTGGCCATTGTGGAGAGGTTGGAGTCTGTTTGATTAAGTGTGTGGACAGGTGTCTTTTATACAGGTAACGAGTTCAAACAGGTGCAGTTAATACAGGTAATGAGTGGAGAACAGGAGGGCTTCTTAAAGAAAAACTAACAGGTCTGTGAGAGCCGGAATTCTTACTGGTTGGTAGGTGATCAAATACTTATGTCATGCAATAAAATGCAAATTAATTACTTAAAAATCATACAATGTGATTTTCTGGATTTTTGTTTTAGATTCCGTCTCTCACAGTTGAAGTGTACCTATGATAAAAATTAGCAGTGTATCAAATACTTGTTCTCCCCACTGTATGAGTTCTTAATCTGGCCCTGTTAATCTTAACCCTAACCTTAACCACACTGCTAATCCTAATGCTTAACCCTAACCTTAAATTAAGACCAAAAAGCTTTTTGTTTTCATGAATAAGGATATAGCCAATTTTTACTTTGAAGCTGGCCCATCTAGCAGAAATCGCTCAGTTCTTCCTTCAGGGCAAGATTCATGACAATACATTTCAACCTGAATCTGCACATGACCCTGCTGTGTGTTGTTGTTTGAGTCATGTACCAAACCAAGACAGAATCCTGTCATCATTGTGACGAAGTTGCAATAAAGTATTTAAGATTACCTCCCGGTCCAGAACTCTGTCCAATGAGGCATTGAGTCTAATGCTCCGCCCTTCCAGGAAGAACCAATCAGCATCCTCCCCAGTTAGGCTCCAGACAACATCATTGGCTGTCAGCTCTGTGTTGAGCTCAATGATAAGTTCTCCCATCATGCTGTTCTCTCTGATCGTGGAAAACACATCCTGGCCCTCTAGACATTGGTTCCCTGCCAATCAGACAAGCCCATGATTAGCACAGTAGCCAATCAGACAAAGTGTTGAGCCTTTGAGGTATAAGCCACGCAGGAAGCACAATTTCTGCTGACAACAAACACCTTGTAGGTAGATATTTAAAGGTTATTTCACCACATAGATTTAATAAATTACATTCATTCTGGCAAAGCAATAACAACACAGCCTACAAGAAGGTGTGCTAACCCTGATGAAAAAACAGCATAGACCAGCATAAATTTCAAGCTGGTCCATGCTGGTCTAGCTGGTCAAGCTGGTCTGACCAGCAGATGTGTAGTGGAGGGTATACGCAGGTATACACCGTATACCCAATTATTTTGTGGGCATTGCGCATATTCACTTCTTAATCCACACAATGCGTATCAAAGTAGTGGAGTGGAGTGGAGGTAGAGCACGGCGCTTGTAACGCCAAGGTAGTGGGTTCGATCCCCGGGACCACCCATACACAAAAATGTATGCACGCATGACTGTAAGTCGCTTTGGATAAAAGCGTCTGCTAAATGGCATATTATTATATGGCATGTCAATTAATAAGGCTGATGGAACAGATCAGAATGTTTAGCTTAAAATGTTGATAAACTATTATTTCTTCACATTTTAAACACAGCAATATGCACACAGTGTTAGGCCTATGTGCAAATGTTCCAAATTGCAATTTGCTGTAAAACACCATTCTAAAACGCGCACAGCACATGCAAGCGGACAGAGATGGAAATATCTGTAGAAATGTAGAAAGAGGGGAGATCTAAAGATGCAACAACTATCATTGGTTGCTAATATGATTAGAATAATGCCTTTGGCTGCTAGACAATGAAATAAAGTTGATTGGAAAACCAATAGAACAGGAGAGCACATATAAGGAAGTCTTTCAAAAATACAGGGACTTCAGAAAGTATTCACACCCCTTGACTTTTTCCATATTTTGCTGTGTTACAAAGTGGGATTAAATGGGATTTAATTGTCATTTTTTGTCAACAATCTACACAAAATACTCTGTAATGTCAAAGTGGAAGAAACTTTCTAACATTTGTTTAAAAAAATATGAAAATGAAAATACAAATATGTCTTGATTAGATACTGTAAGTATTCAACCCCCTGAGTCAAGACATGTTAGAATCACCTTAGGCAGCGATTACAGCTGTGAGCTTTTTGTTGTATCTAAGAGCTTTGCACACTGGATTATATAATATTTGCACGTCATTCTTTAAAAACTTCTTCAAGCTCTGTCAAGTTGGTTGTTGATCATTGAGAGACAGCCATTTTCAACTCTTGCCATAGATTGTCAAAACTGTTACTAGGCCACAGAACATCAGTGTCCTTGGTAACACTACCAGTGTAATTGGTCTTGTGATTAGGTTATTTCCTGCTGAAAGTGAATTTGTCTCCCAGTGTCTGTTGGAAACAACTGAACCTGGTTTTCCTCTGGGATTTTGGTTTCCTGGCTTAGCTCTTTCCATTTATTTTATCTAAAAAACACTCCCTAGTCCTTGCCTAGACAAGCATACCCATAATATGATGCAGCCACCACCATCTGAAATATGAAGTGGTACTCAGTGATGTGTTGTGTTGGATTTGCCCCAAACATGACGCTTTGTAAATTTAATTTCTTTGCCATATTTTTTGCAGTTTTACTTTATTGCCTTATTGCAAACAGGATGCAATATTTTATTTATTTATTGCAAACAGGATGCAATATTTGTTATTTTGTACAGGCTTCTTTATTTTCATTCTGTCGATTAGGTTAGTATTTTGGAGTAACTACAATATTGTTGATGCATCCTAAGTTTTGCACAGCCATTAACTCTGTAACTGTTTCAAAGTCACCGTTGGCCTCAGTGTGAAATCCCTGAGCGGTTTCCATCCTATCCGGCAACTGAGTTAGGAAGGATGCCTGTATCTTTGTAGTGACTGGGTGTATTGATATACCATCCAAGTGTAATTAATAACTTCACCATGCTCAAAGGGATATTCAAACAATTAAGGAACAGGAAAAATATCATGATGCTAAAGATAGGCCTAACCGTCTTCTGGTGGATTGAAAGGCTTTCCCAAAAACCTTAATTAAATGATAACGACCTACAAAGTAGCCTATGCCTACCTGGCAGAATGATATCATGATTATTTGCATTAATCCAGTGGCCATTTGTTTTGCAAATGCCATCTCATGTGGGCTTCAGAAACACTGCTAACCAAACAACAGTGCTAGGTGCCTGCTCAGTTGAATTTAAGGGTAACTACACTCAAAAATCTAAATTTCTTTAAAAAATCCCAGACCTCAAAAGTGGTCTCCTGATGTGGTTTAAGCATTGTTGTGAACATCGAATTATTTATTTTTTAAATAAATAAATAAAGTATGACTGAGAGCGAAAACATGATTCATTTTTGGTTGAAAAATCTGAAACCTGTGATTGACAGCCTCATTTATCTATTTCAATAGGCCTACCATTAGCCTACTTGAACTGTACAGCTTGGGTTGGCCTGACTGTGAAAAAACAAAATGGGATTTATCATTTTAGGTCATTCAGAGTGTATGTCACTGTTTGTCATAGAATTGTTCACACATGGCGCCTTTCCTTTGCTGGATGGGCCTTTTGGAACATTTTGGGCAAAATTTGAATATACAGTAGCTGACATGGGCTAATTGATTGACTATCAGTGACTGACATAACAAGAAAAACTGCTGATGCACAACCAAATTTCGAAATTGCACTTGATACGAGGGCCTTTAAAAGGGGGGCACCCATTGCCAATCCCTGCCATATCCTGTAGACTCTGCTGTACTCCAGCCCTTTTTATCTTCTTTCTAAAATTAGGGTTTCGATTCAATCAAATCGAGCGTTAACCCTCGGTTGTTCTTGTGTGTCACAAACCACCCCCTTCCTTCCCACTAGGGAACACATTGGTGGAATCAACGTTGTTTCCACGTCAATTCAATGAAATTATGTTGAACCAACGTGGAATAGACGTTGAATTGACGGCGACAGAAAGTGTAGGCTATTGCATAATTTTCATGTTAATTTGGATGCGAGGATTTAAAGCCAATCAGTCTTATCGGATGTAGGGCCTGTAGCCTACAATAGAACATCATGCATTCAAGTGTTTGAACTTGTAACGCGGCTGCAGGAACTTCTAACGTGGCTGCATGGGATTAGTTGGATATAAAGTCAGGTGGTTTCGTTGCATCCAATGGCAGTGTAGGCGATAAGGTAACACAAGGAGCCGCTTGTAGATTTGAAAGCTCTAACACAGTTCCACCTCCGACAACGCCAAAACAACCGTAATGCGGGTGTCGACCAACGCTAACCTGATTGAATCGCGCCCTAGAACGTTCAGAAGGAGTTTTTTCCTCTGTTTGCATGGATGTTGTCACATGTTTGGATCATGTTGTGTTATTCACTCAGAATCAGTCAGTTGCCATACCCTACTCATTACCTTGGGCCCATAGGGCCTGTGTGTGTATGTGTGTGTGTGTGTGTGTGTGTGTGTGTGTGTGTGTGTGTGTGTGTGTGTGTGTGTGTGTGTGTGTGTGTGTGTGTGTGTGTGTGTGTTTGTGTGTTTGTGTGTGTGTGCTTGTAATGTTTCACATTTGTCAGTAATAAACGTTTCTACATTTCAACCAATTCTTTGAATGACTTTCGATTGTAGGTAAATCATTCTTCACTTTTAATGACTAAAATATGTTGCTCTCAGAGTAAATTGTCATATCCCACTGGGCACACACTGGTTGAACCAACGTTGTTTTCACGTCATTTCAATTAAATGAATTTGAACCAACGTGAAATAGACGTTGAATTGACGTTTGTGCCCAGTGGGATGTGATGTATTTATAATTATATCAGGTAATATGCAGTCCACAAGACACCACAACAGATAACTGATAATTTAAGATACTAATTGCATTAACAAGGTAAAGGGAGTATAGTACAGTAATAAACCAACCTCATTAGTTCAACACTTCTATATGTTATGATTATGATACCATAATCGTTCCATTAACTCAGGTGATTTTAAATTCACTAATGTGAAAAATAATAACACTTTTGGAGACTATAATGGTTGTTAGAAATGTTATTTCTGGCCGAGGTGGGATTCAAACTTGGGAACTTCGGGTCCACTCTTCCTCTTCCTCAAACGCAGGAAAACAATGTATGTTCGTTGTTTTTCAGCTTATTAATAAATAATGAATAATAAACACATATTTTATTTCTGTTTTCTGTTTTTCAAAAATGTTCCTCCCCCTTTCTTCCCCTTCTTTCTCCGTTCCAACACTAGTCATAAGCATTTGCTGGTCTATGCAGTTTTCTTTTCAGCAGGGAAGGGAGAAGCTTAGGGAAATGTGGTGATGTGTGCATTTGCCATAAACATATACCGGTACACTACAATTGCTTACAATTTTCTCGTCTCACAGTTTGTTCTACATCAGGGTCACCACTCCCGGTCTCCCAAGGCAAGCCATCTTCGACAACGGTAAAGGGATGCCCTGAATGAACCAAAACAGCTAGCTTTTACACACAGCTTCATTGGAAACTCAGCCTAAATTAAAGAGACATAATGGGATCTTAAGCACTTACATATTCGCAACATATTGTATGAATTGGAATTTGTAACATATTATACATTTTTTGCAGGACGTAACATATCATACGAAATCAATGATGTTGTACACAATTGTGCGCAATTTTCAGGGACCCGTGTTGGCTCGTGGGTGCCACTTTCAGAACTACTGGCTAAAAAGTATATGCAAAACCTCTGGAATGCATCTTTAATTACGATGTGGAACACTTGCCACTGACAGTCAAACAGGGTCTAGTTCAACAGTTCTACTTGTTCACAAACACACCATTAAACTGAAAACTATCCTCCCTCCCTACTTGGTTTTTTTTTAATTTTTCTATGAGACAGTCAGGGTAAGATAATAGTAAAGTTGTGGTGATGGGTCTTACCTGTGGCTCTGAGGGGACAAAGGAGGAGTAGTGTGGACCAGAGCAGGACCCTCCACCTCCACAGACAAGGCCTCTGTGGCTGCATCACTACAGCCTCAATCAGACACCAGGTCTCAATCCCGGTCCCTAGCCCTGGATCTAGAACCAGACCTTCCTTAACACAGCTCCATGCTCCGGGCCCAGTCCCAGCCTCTCACACCACAACCCCTGGCCTGGAACAGAGAAAGAGAAGTGTGTTAAAATAAGAGCCATTTTGTTGTTAAACAACAAATAGTTTTGCCACTGAGCAATGCAAGGCTATCCGTGGCTAGCTAGCAGTATTGACACGTCTGTCACTGATCAATGCTAAGCTAACTACGACTAGCTAGCTGTATGTATTGACATCGGTGTAACTTAAGTGAGTGATGCTACGCTAACTATAGCTAGCTATATGTCTGTATTTACATAGGCAAGCTGTCATTGAGCAATGCTAGGAAAGGTACAACTAGCTGACATAGTGGCCACTGAGCAAAGCTAAGCTAACTATGGCTAGCCAGCTGTCTGTATTGACAAGGCTGTCACTGAAGAATGCTTGGTTAACTATGGCTAGCTTGCTGTCTGTTTTGTCATGGTGGTCTCTGTGACTAAAAGATGCTAAGCTAACTACCGAGTTTTCTGTATTGACATTGCTTGATTGGCTGTGGGCTTGTGGCCTCAGTATCCCTCACCTTTTCACATTACACTTTATTCAGTGATGTTACTTTGTTGTATTTTACAAATGGCTAATGTTAGCATTGGCCACATTGGAATTCCTGGTCCTGCTTAACTAATCAAGTTAAGGTCTTTACTGAAGCTGTAATTAATCTTTAGTTGGATGGAGATCAGCTCAAAGGGCTAGGACTTTAACAAACGTATACATACTTGCATGCACGCACATACAACACAGACACACACACACAAGTAAGTGGGTTTTTCTTCAGCTTTCCCTGTCTGACAGACCACCTCACCTCTAACCACCCCTTCCACCCCACCTCACCCCTGCTCTCCCCCACATCAGCCCTCCCCGAACCCCTCCCCTGCTTGACTCTGAGACAGACAACCACCCTTCACCCTTCCTATGATCTCCCCCCCCCCCCCCCCCCACCCCCCTTTCTCCATTGACACAGCAGTACCTTCTAGATGTGAATGGGTTATTGCCAGGTAAGTGATTGAGAGTCACGTAAGGTGACAAACCAGGTCAGGATAAACAACATCGTCAGATCTGTAGAGTATTTGTGAGAGTGTGATTTGAAGGAGTCAGGCGCAGGAGGGTAAATCACAGAATACAGAGTTTATTCCGTAGGACACAGTTATGCTGGATAGCGTCAACAAAATACAGGCACACAGGGAACAATATCCCCGGAAATACAAGATACGTGTAGCTCAACCGAGCTACACTCAACTCACAAATAACAATCACCCACAAGGACAAGGGGGGCAGAGGGAACACTTATATATGTACTAATGAGGGGATATGAACCAGGTGTGTGTAATTGACAAGACAAGACAAATGGAATGATGAGATATGGAGCGGCAGTGGCTAGTAGGCCGGTGACGACGAACGCCAAAGCCTGCCCAAACAAGGAGGGGAGGCAGTTTCGGAGGAAGTCGTGACAGTATTTAAAGACACAGATCCATTCCTGGAGTCTAAATAATGAATCCTGTCTTTTGGCTGTGCTGTCAACAAACCTCCTTCCATGTGGCCTAGTTCTGGTTCCTGTCAAATAAAATAAAAAAATACAATCACATTTTATTTGTTACATGCGCCGAATAAAACAGGTGTAACCTTACTGTGAAATGTTTACTTACAAGCCCTTAACCAACAATGCAATTTTAAGAAAAATAAGAAAAAAGCAACAATAAAATAACAATAACGAGGCTAAATGAAAATAGTCCGGGTAGCCATTTGATTAGCTGTTCAGCAGTCTTATTGCTTGGGGGTGGAGAAGCTGTTAAGAAGCCTTTTGGACCTAGACTTGGCGCTCCGGTACTGCTTGCCGTGCGGTAGCAGGGAGAACAGTCTATGACTAGGGTGGCTGGAGTCTTTGACAATTTTTAGGGCCTTCCTCTGACACCGCCTGGAATAGAGGTCTTGGATGGCAGGAAGCTTGGCCCCAGTGATGTACAAGGCCGTACGCACTACCCTCTGTAGCGCCTTGCGGTCGGAGGCCGAGCACTTGCCATACCAGGCGGTGATGCAACCAGTCAGGATGCTCTCGATGGTGCAGCTGTAGAACTTTTTAAGGATCTGAGGACCCATGCCAAATCTTTTCAGTCTCCTGAGGGGGGAAATAGGTGTTGTCGTGACCTCTTAACGACTGTATTGGTGTGTTTGGACCATGATAGTTTGTTGGTGATGTGGAGACCAAGGAACTTGAAGTTCTCAACCTGCTCCACTACAGCCCCATCGATGAGAATGGTGGCGTGCTCAGCCCTCCTTTTCCTATAGTCCACGATCATCTCTTTTGTCTTGATCACGTTGAGGGAGAGGTTGTTGTCCTGGCACCACACTTTCAGGTCTCTGACCTCCTCCCTGTAGGCTGTCTCATCGTTGTCGGTGATCAGGCCTACCACCGTTGTGTCGTAGGCAAACGTAATGATGGTGTTGGATTCGTGCTTGGCCATGCAATCATGGGTAAACAGGGAGTACAGGAGGGGACTAAGCATGCACCCCTGAGGGGCCCCCGTGTTGAGGATCAGCGTGGCATATGTGTTGTTGCCTACCCTTACCACCTGGGGGCAGCCCGTCAGGATCCAGTTGCAGAGGGAGGTCTTTAGTCCCAGGGTCCTTAGCTTAATGATGTGCTTTGAGGGCACTATGGTGTTGAACGCTGAGCTGTGGTCAATGAATAGCATTCTCATGTAGGTGTTCCTTTTGCCAGGTGGGAAAGGGCAGTGTTGAGTGCAATAGAGATTCCATCATCTGTGGATCTGTTGGGGCGGTATGCAGATTGGAGTGGGTGTAGGTTTCTGGGATGATGGTGTTGATGTGAGCCATGACCAGCCTTTCAAAGCACTTCATGGCTACAGACGTGAATGCTACGGGTCGGTAGTCATTTAGGCAGGTTACCTTGGTGTTCTTGGGCACAGGGACTATGGTGGTCTGCTTGAAACATGTAGGTATAACAGACTCGGCCATGGACAGGTTGAAAATGTCAGTGAAAACACTTGCCAGTTGGTCAGCGCATGTTCGGTGTACACATCCTGGTAATCCGTCTGGCCCTGCGGCCTTGTGAATGTTGACCTGTTTAAAGGTCTTGCTCACATCGGCTACGGAGAGCGTGATCACACAGTCGTCCGGAACAGCTGGTGCTCTCATGCATGCTTCAGTGTTGCTTGCCTCGAAGTGCGCATAGAAGTCATTTAGCTCGTCTGGTAGGCTTGTGTCACTGGGCAGCTCGCAGCTGGGCTTCCCTTTGTAGTCCGTAATAGTTTGCAAGCCCTGCCACATCCGATGAGCGTCGGAGCCGGTGCAGTAGGATTCAATCTTAGTCCTGTATTCATGCTTTGCCTGTTTGATGGTTAGTCTGAGGGCATTACGGGATTTCTTATAAGTGTCCGCGTTAGAGTCCCGCTCCTTGAAAGTGGCAGCTCTACCCTTTAGCTCAGTGCGGATGTTGCCTGTAATCCATGGTTTCTGGTTGGGGTATGTACATACGGTCACTGTGGGGACGACGTCATCGATGCACTTATTGATGAAGCCGGTGACTGATGTGGTATACTCCTCAATGCCATCGGATGAGTCCCGGAACATATTCCAGTCTGTGCTAGCAAAACGTCCTGTAGCTTAGCATCTGCGTCATCTGACCACTTCCGTATTAAGCGAGTCACTGGTACTTCCTGCTTTAGATTTTGCTTGTAAGCAGGAATCAGGAGGATATAATTATAGTCAGATTTGCCAAATGGAGGGCGAGAGAGAGCTTTGTACGCGTCTCTGTGTGTGGAGTAAAGGTGGTGTAGAGTTTTTTTCCTCTTGTTGCACATGTATCATGCTGGTAGAAATTAAGTAAAACGTATGTAAGTTTCCCTGCATTAAAGTCCCTGGCCACTAGGAGCGCCTTCTCTGGATGAGCATTTACTTGTTTGCTTATGGCATTATACAGCTCGTTGAGTGCGGTCTTAGTGCCAATATCGGTTTATGGTGGTAAATAGACAGCTACGAAAAATCTAGATGAAAACTCTCTTGGTAAATAGTGTGGTCTACAGCTACCTGAGGCGAGCAAAACCTTGAGACTTCCTTAATATTTAGGGTCAGGTTTAGGGATTACTCCATTCCATCTCAATTCCAACAAATAAAGCATCCATGTGTAAATTTGAAATCACGCTGAAATGACAGTCCCATTCCACTAATCTCTCCTAATAAGGGCCCATTCTCTAGTCTACTCGCCCTATGAGAACCTAGAAACACAACCAGCAATACACTAACAACGTACCAGCAATACCATCCCATTACCCAACTACACACACACACACACATTAACTCAAACATGCTGTCTGTCACCCCTCTGTATAAATATTACCCTGCACACACACACACACAGACTTTTCCTTGTTTTACTATCCTTGTGGGGACTTTTGGGGTTTTCCGGTACCCACAAGGATAGTAATACAAGCCCCCCCCCCCACACACACACACACACACACATACACATACAGACACACCACCTTTACCTGTGCTGACTGACCTGTAGGTGTTAGATCCTCAGTGGGTTCTGTTCTTAATGCCTAGAGAATACAACATATCTGCTAGACTGCATGAACACACACACGCACACACACACAGCCTTCCACGCAGACCCAGGGAGTCCTCACAGCAATAAACACACACTAAGACACATAAGCACAGATACACAAGCAGACACCACCAAACGTACAGAAAGAAACACGGACGCAAACACACACAGCACTTTAACTCTCTCACAAACACAAGACAGCAGCTTGAAATACATTTCCTGAGGATAACTGTCGGATCAGGGGGAGGGATTTACCTGGTGACGGTCCGATAACCAATCAGAGTACTTCGAGAGCACTAGCCAATCAAGGTGCCTAGAAAGAACGTACTAGAATAGCATGGAGGTTAAAGACAGGAGTCAAAACTCACCTGACTATTCCC